GCGGCGGTGGCCGCTGAGGAGGGCGGAGATTTCTGTGGTGAAGTAGTGGGAGGGCTCCAAGGAGGTCTCGCGAAGAGCCGCGGTCTGAACTAAAAAGTGAGAAGTTGATGTGGGTACTGCTTGTCTCGGACCGGCGGCTTGAAGTTTGAGATCATCGTGGAACCGTGAGCAGCGGCAGGGGGGGACCCGGATGGGGAGCGGGGGAGGGGGTACCGAGGAGGAAGAAGAAAGGAGGGAGAGGACCCGGATGCTGACCCGGATCGGGGTGACTAGCGACCGGGTGGTGGGACGCGTGGGAGGCAAAGGAGCTCCGAGGAGTGGAAGGGGGTACCGATGCGGCTCAGGGGAGAAGCCCGCCTGCGAGCTTATTACACCGCTGCCCGTGTCGAGCCCTTTTCCCCAGAGCTATCATTCCCCCGGCTTGGAGTGAAAAGATCTTGCTGTGCGCGTCTCAGCTGCGTTTCTTGGTAGCCCCTATCTGTAGCTAGTTTCAAGTCAGAGCCTGCCTATTAAAAAATAAATAAATACTCTGCATGGAATTTTCAATATTTGTATGCGTGCTGATGCGCTGATTTTATCCTCTGAGATGTTAGGAGAAGGTCAGTCATCTTAATGGAAAGACGAGATGGACCGTGTACAACTTCCTGAACGCGTCTGCTCAGACAAAGTGAAGCGTGATAGGAGGATGTGGATTAGAACTTTGGCTCAGGGAAGTATAGAGCGGTTTTCCTGAAGGAGTGAGGACAGAGCTTGACTCAAGAAGCCAGCAGAAGAGCCTAAAGGAAATGAGAGCCCAGAAAGAACATGCTGGGAACCCGTTTCAGGAGAAAGCTTTGCCAGTATGATGAGGAAGGTTGGTTAAGGAATTTTGATCCAGCACCCTGGAGACTGAAGCAGGAGGATTACTGTGCATGGTAGGCCATCCTAGACTACACAGGATGACCCTGTCACCAGAAAGAAAGAAAAAAAATTAAAACAGGTTTAATCTGTTCTAATGGCCCAGTGAACAATAGGATACGTTGGATTCCCGACTTGAATTGCTAAAATAACAACTCACCCAAAAATAGAGGAGTTTAGCATTGTGGTGCTGGCACATTCCAAGGCCAGCCTGATCTACATAATGCGTTTCAGGCTAGCCTGAGCCAGACAGACCCTGTCTCAAGAAAAAGAAAAGTAATGAAGGGAGATCAGAGCGACAGCTGCAGTAGTATTTCAACAGGGTAAATGATCTGCTTGCATATATATTCACTAATCCACTCTTAAAAAATATTTCCCACAGCTTTTCAGTTTTGAAAGTGGGAAAATGATATCAGATTCACACTGAGGCATTCTATAGTGATTCCACATAAGGTAATCTGAGTTTGGGCCACTCAGCACTTGTAAGTCTAGTAAATGAAAAGCTGAGAATTCTACCCATGACAATTGACAGCCCTTAGTTTAAAAAAAAAAATCAAGAGTATATAGAACTCTTAAACTCGTAGACTCTAATGCAAAACAGATTGACTCTGGGCACTTACATAAGTTTTCATGTTTCTCCACCACAGAGAATACTATATGTAAATTTTCTCTGGAAAGGAAACATTAATTGACTTATTTGAGTACTTTTAAACTGTGAATGAGCAAAGGAAATACTTCTTTAATTCATCGCTAGTAGAGAAGTATTAAAGATTAAAAAAAATAAACTTCTGTATTTCAGCTGCAGAGGCAGGCAGATCTCTGAGTTTGAGGCCAGCCTAGTCTACAAGGTGAATTCCAGGGAAAGCCAGGGCTCTGTTACACAGAGAAACCCTGTCTGAGGATGTGGGGGGAACAACATGACACTTCAGTTTTTAAAGGATGTGTCACTCTTAATTTCTGTGCAGAATGTACCTGCTTTTGACCCAGAGGCAAATTCTTGGTGACTTCATTATTTTAAGTTAGGTCAAATGTGCTTTCCAGAATGCAAACCAGATAGCAGCATGCTTTTTGCTGCTACCCTAATTGAGAAGAGATGCTGCTAGCTGGTTTAAAAAGAGGAGTATATTAAAAGATGCTTTGGGGACTTGAGGATTCAGCTTATGGTAGATCATGAGCAAATGCAATGCTTTGGACATCACCCAAAACAAAAAAGAACAGATTTTTTTTTTAATCATACATTTAAATGATCTGTTGCCAACATTGTCTTCTTTCTTTGCATCTTTTAATCTTTAACCTCTAAGAACAAAGTAACATGTCCAGTATTAACAACTGTAATCCCACCTCTCCAGGAAGATCAAAATTCAAGGCCAGCCTGGACTACATGGGGAGTTCCAGGTCAATCTAGACTACATAGCAAAACCCTGTCTTGGGGGAGAAAAAATGTTGCTATGTTGCTGTTTGAAATATTTCAAAGTATTTTTATGACCATTCTTTTCCTTGTGATGTTCTTCCAAGGATAATGGAAAACTTTTCCTTAGGAAGTGAGAGATTGAGACATGTCATGTAGCCCAAGCTGGCCCTGAACTCCTGATCTTTCTTCTCCCCACTTTCCAGCTGCTGGTATTACAAACATGTTCTACCGCATTTGGCTAGAAATTTTGTATTTGGGGTGTTTCTCTATGAATTTATTTTGCTAAATTGCTGTGGTGGGTTGCTGATTTTTTTGTGTGTGTGGATGTTTGACATGTATTATTATTAAGAATTAACTACCCAAAAATGGGCTCTTGAGGCTGTAGAAATGGCTCAGTAGGTAAAGTGCTTGCTGTGAAATCGTGGACCTGTGTCTATCCCTAGCATCTATATAGCTGGATGTGGCTGCACACACCTGTAATCCCACCAATGGGGAGGCTTGCTAGCCAGCCAGTCTAGCCAAACCAGCAAACTCTAGCTTCAGTGAAAGACTCTTTCAAAAAATAAAGTGGGAAGATTAAGAAATTACCCAATATCTATCTCAAGGTTCCACCTACACCACTGTGGTGGTTTAAATGAGAACCCCCCCCAAGATTAGGAGGTATGGACTTGTTGGTGGAGGTGTATCACTAGAGATAGACTTTGAGGTTTCAAAGGACCATGCCATCTCTAGTTAGCTTTCTGCCTCCAGCTTATGTATAAGATGTAAACTCTCAGCTACTGCTCCAGTGCCATACATGCCTGCCTGCTTGCTGCCAGATCTCCATCATGATGTTCATGGACTCACCCTCTGAAACTGTAAGCAAGCCTCCAATTAAATGTTTTCTTTTATAAGTTGCCTTAGTTATAATGTCATGGTTTGTTGTTTTGTTTTTGGTTTTTTGAGACGGGGTCTCTCTACATAGCCCTGGCTATCTTAGAACTATGGAGGCCATACTAGCTTTGAACTCACAGAAATTCTCCCCTGCCTCTGTCTCTTGAGTGCTGGGATTAAAAGTGTGCACCCCTGCACTAGACTGATCATAATGTATCTTTATAGCAATAATGTAATAACTAAGACATACACACACACACACAATTAAATAAATGAATACTTACTTTGTTTTCATTTTTCCAGACAGGGTTTCTCTGTGTAACAGCTCTGGCCATCCTAGAACTTGCTTTGTAGACCATACCATACTGTCTCTGGCCTCCCAAGTGCTGGGATTAAAGGCATTCCCAACACCACCACCACCTTGCTAAGAATAGTTGGTTTTTGTTTTTTTGGTGTTTTGTTTTGTTTGGGGCGGGGGGGGGGGGGTGGGGACAGGGGTTCTCTGTGTTGCTTTGGGGCCGGCCCTGGGGCCTCGAACTCCCAGAGATCTGCCTGCCTCTGACTCCCGAGTGCTGGGATTAAAGGCGTGCACCACCAACGCCCAGCCTAAGAATAGTTTTTAAAGCATGCTTTTCACTGGTTATGGTGGTACACATGTAATCCTAGCACTTGAAGGCTTAGAAAAGAGGATTGTTCATTCTAGGGCAGCCTGAATCACATTGGAAAATCCTGCCTCAAATAACAAAAAAGTGTGTGTGTGTGTGTGTGTGTGTGTGTGTGTGTGTGTGTGTATGCAGATCTGTGTGTAAGAGCAACCTGAACAATAAATACATCACTTTCACTTTCATTCCTTGATTTCCATTTGTCATCTGTCTTCAATAAAGAGTTACAAACTGAGGTTGCAGTGGAGATTACTCAGTCCGTAAAGCATCTATGAGGCATAAGGAACCAAGTTCCACATCCCCCCATCTTTAACCCCAGCACTTGCCTGGACCAGAACATGCATATCCCAGGAATTCTATTGGCTAGCCAATCTAGCTAAATTGGCAAGCCCTGGGTTCAGTGATGGACCCTGTCTCAAATATAAGGTAGAAAATTATTGACGAAGACCCAAGGTTGTTACATAGCTTTTATACAAACATGTACTCATACACATGAATACATGTACACACAAAAATATTTGTTTATGATAAGTATTTTTTGGTTTATGTATGTGTGTGAGCACCCACATGCCACAGTGATTTTGTGGAGGTCAGTATAGCTGTTAGCTCTTAACTTTCTTTTAATTTTGTGTATGGAGTCATCAGATGTCTCTGGGCTAAGGGTTTGACACAAAGCCTGACAACCTGAGTTGTTCTGTCCATGGGATTCATGTGATAGAAGAGAACAGATTCCCTCTTCTAGAGGCTATCAAGTTGACAATACCAGCCATCACTATGGTGATATCTTGCTTGTACAAATAAAGCCTGTCAGAGGGTCAGAGAATGGAACTTGCCACTAGCTAACCATAGAGGTCTGGAGGTCTGTAAGGACAGACAGGAAGTGAAGTAGCTGGGCAGAAACAGTCTATAAGCAGGCAGAAACAGGAAATTACTCTCTTGTCTGCTGAGACACCATGTAGCCACAGAAGGAGTACAGGTCCAGGCATTCTTCTGTAAGCCAAGATCACATGAAAATACTTAGATTAATAGAAATGAGTTAGTAATTAAGAGAGAGGTAGACAATAAGAAGCCTGAGCCATCTGCCAAACAGTTTATAAGTAATACAAGCCTCTATGTGTTTACTTGGGACTAAGTGGCTTCAGGACCAGGTGGAATAGAAACTCCATCTACACATTAGAGGTGCCTTCCAGTTCCAAAACCTGTGACATGCATCTAGCTCTTGACCAACAATAACCATGAGCTGCCATTATGTAACCAAGTTAAATTTGGTTTTATATTTACAGTGAATACTAGAAGATTATTAGAAGATAGCTTACAGTCCTGAAAACCAAAATGGTGTCCCCCAAAGAAGAGACAACTCATAACAGCTAAACCTTGCCAGAGATGCCATGGTTACCAGAAAAGCAGAGCTTCTTAGGAGAAAAGTAGACATAGATATTTACAAAGAAACAGAAGATTCACCAGTAGAGGATGCCCCCGCAAAGACCATGATTGAAGCTGGGCAAGGTGGCATGCTCTGTACCCCAGTATTTGGAAGTAGAGGCAGAAGAATCAGGAATTCAAGGCTAGCTGGGCTACATATAGCTTGTCTCAAAATATACATATGTACATACATGCCACAATTATATTCTACCAAGTATGGAAGTAAAGGCAATATTCAAAATAATGAAGCACTATAGGAAATTCTTAAATAAAATAATTGCATTAAAATTAGTATGCATCTTAAAAACAATCTCTGAAATTTACTGATTTGAGAAAAATGTTCTTCACAAATTATAAAGCACACTTATCTTAATATTCATGGAAAGAATATTTGTAATCATTATTGAAATGTTGTTTTGTGAATTTGTTTTGACATTTATTTGGTATCAACAATTTAAGTCATTTATGATTAATTAACTAGCAAAGCTTACTGTAAGTCACCTAAGAAAAGTACTTTAAAATCAATTAAACATTCTGATCCATGTAATCAGTGGAATGAAAAATTTTTCTTTTTAGAAACTTGAGGTATAATTTATATATCTACCATACAAAGTTTATAGTTAAGATGAGTTTGGTGGCTTGAGCCCAAAATTTCAAGGCCAGATTGGGCATCATAGTGAGACCCCGTCTCAGGACAAACTAGATACGATGTTGCATGTCTGTAATTTCAGCACTGAAAACCATGAGGCAGGACAGTCACAAATTTGAGGCCATCCTAGGCTATACCATAAGACTTTTCAAAAACTTTTTTAAAAATTTTAATTTAGTAGATTTTAGTATAGCCACAGTATAACAGTATAATTACCACATTCTATTAACATTTTGATCCTATACACACACACCACACACATGCAAGCGTGTGCACAGACCTTCATTATTCATTAGTAGCAGTCTTTATTTTTTCTGAGCCAGAAACCACTAGCCTGCTTTCCCATCTGTGTAGATTGCCTGATTCAGAACATTTCCTATAAATAGGATCATACAGCATGTTCTTTTGCTTTACATAATGTTTTCAAGGTTTTATACATGTAATGTTTTGCTATATAAATAAAATTTAAGGTCTGTCTTTCCAAAAAACACCTTAATAAAAATTCCTTTGCAATCTAACACTTAAAGGTAATTTGGTTCATGAGGTCATTTTTATATTTCTCCTTTTTAACAGATCAGCTTTGAAATTTATAAAACATGGAGAAGACTCAAGAGAAAGCTGAAAGAATTCTTCTAGAGCCCTATAGGTACTTACTTCAATTACCAGGTAACAAACAGTTCAGTTATTGTCCATATAGCATAGTTTCAGAGTGGTGTTTATTTAAATGTTAGCAACAGGAAAGTTTAAACTGAAATGGTCTTGAGACCTTCTACTTGAAGTGATACCATTAAAAGAGGAATTATTCAAAGAATTACATAATGAAAATGTTTCTGGGGGCTAGAGAGATGGCTCAGAGGTTAAGAGCACTAGCTGCTCTTCCAGAGGTCCTGAGTTCAATTCTCAGCAACTACATGGTGGCTCACAATCATCTATAATAAGGTTTGGTACCCTAACACTGTACACATACTGGATAAATAAATAAATATTTTTTAATATTAAAAAAAGAAAAAATGTTTCTCTTTTGCTTTCTGTTTTATTGAGACAGGAACTCACTGATACATACCTAAGCTGGCCTAGAATTCATTAAGTAGCCCAGGCTGGCCTAGAATCCAGGCCCTGCTAGGATTACAGATATTATTCCTTCTTTCTTTTAATTATGTGTCTGTGGGATGGTATGTGCATGTGCATGCAAATGGCTGTGGTCAGAGGCGATGTTATAGCCTCTGGAGTTGGAGTTACAGCCAGTTGTGAGCCTTCTGTGATGAAGGTTCCTAGCACCTAGGACCTTAACGTTTAACTCGTTCTTTTTTGGAGCGGGGGGAAGAAATCTTTGAGACAAGATTTCTTTGTGTAGCTTTAGTGCCTGTCCTGGAACTTGATCGTAGACCAGACTGGCCTCAAACTCCTGCCTCTACCTCCCAAGTGCTGGGATTAAAGGCATGTGCCATCACTGCCTGGCTCTTAACTCATTCTTAATCTCTGAGCCATCTGTCCAGCCCAATTTTTTTTTTTTTTTTTTAGGTTTTTTGTTTGTTTGTTTGTTTTAGTTTTTTGAAGCAGGGTTTCTCTCTGACTTTGGAGGCTGTCCTGGAACTAGCTCTTGTAGACCAGGTTGGTCTTGAACTCACAGAGATCCGCCTGCTTCTGCCTCCTGAGTGCTGGGATTAAAGGCATGTGCCACCAACACCCCATTCCAACTCCTTTTTTTTTTTTTTTCCTTTATTTATTGTTGTGACTGTATGTGGAGCTTAGAGGATCCTGGGGATGGAATTCAGGTCATTAGGCTTTGCCCTAATCACCTTTACCTCTGAAACTTAACCGTTTTTTCTTTTTTTTTTTTTTTTTTTTTTTTTTTTTTTTTTTTTTTCTTTTTTGAGTCAGAGTCTTGCTGACTTCAAACTCACAGAGTTTGTCTTTGTCTTCCTAGTGCTGGGAATAAAGGTATGCACCACTATACCCAGACTGAAACTTAACTTTTTTTGTCTCATTTTACACTTTTACTTTATGTGTATGGAGGTTTTGGCTGTGTGTGTGTGTGTGTGTGTGTCTGTGTGTCTGTGTGCCTAGTACCTGAGGAAGCCAGAAGAGGAGGTCAGTTCCCATAGGACTGAAGTTATAGTTACAGTTCTGAGCCACCATGTGAATGCTGGGAATCATACCTGGAACTTCTGGAGGAGCAGCAAGTGCTCTTAACCGCAGAGCTCCCTCTTCAGCCTCTGAAACTTGACTTCTGTATAACTATTTTCTTGAGCCCTGAATTTGCAATATTAGACATGCATACGATACCTTCACTAAATGAACTGTTGTAATTTTTATTTACTGTTGCTTTATGTTTAAGATAATTTAACTTCTACTGGCAACTACTTTAGACCTTTCTCCAGCTTTCCATGTGAAAAAGAAAATGCTTTTGGAAAGCTACTGGCTCTAGTCAACAACTAGAGGTTTGTTTAACTGGTTTGACTGTAAACTGAAGTCACGCTACTCTCTTAGAATCTTAATTTAAAGGAATGACATAATTTTATGAGGAAATTCATTGGCAAAATTCTTTCAAGTTTTTGTGTGACAGGTAGTGCTAACTAATTGTCCCTAAACTGACTTTGTTTTGTTTTTTTTTTTCAGAAAAAGGAAGAGATTAAAGTGCATTTTCTAAAAATGACCATTTCACCCCCCAAGTTAAGATTATAATTCACTGAAGTGCTTTAGACTTTCTTGTCAGCCCTCATTTTAAATAGCTGTGCTTTTTTATCTTTAATTGCATATATATATGTATGTGTTGGGGGTGGGAAGTATGTACACATGCGTGTGGGTGCCCACAGAGGACTAGAGAGGGTGTTAGAGCTCCTGGAGCTGGAGTTACATATGGTTGTGAGCCACCTGACATACCCACCCAAGTGTAGTTTGAATGATAAAATGAAGAGGATGAGTCCAGCCCCACTGTATTATTTACAATGGGGAATCTGAAGGATATTCATCAGGGAAGGAAGTGGGTTGATGTGACTGTCTTACTAAGTCTGATCAGTTTTAAAGCAAGTTTTTCACTTTTTCTTGTAATTACATTTTGGAAGCCAATGAGATGACTTAGCCGGTAAATGTTCTTGTCACCATGCCTAAGATCTGACCTCCAACGCCAGGACCCACACACTCCTGAAAGCTGTCTTCTGACCTCCACAAGTGCACCATGAAATGCATGTGCACATACAAACACAATTGAATAAATGTTCTTTAAAATTATTATTTAAGTAAAATAATGTTTTATTTGACATGTCCTATGTTTTAATTGCAGGTAAACAGGTGAGAACCAAACTTTCACAGGCATTTAATCACTGGCTGAAAGTTCCAGAAGACAAACTACAGGTATCTAGGCAGTCTGCTTTTTCTCTGCTTTGTCCTACTGTGGGTCAGATTCTGGACTTTGAGCATGCTGGGCAAGTGCTCTGCCACTGAGCCACAACCCTAGCCCTTAGGCGATTTTAATCTTATTCTTCCCCATTTAACCACCAAGGAATTAGTAAGTGCCATGTAAAAATATTCCAAGATCCTTATTCTGTTAATGCTGATGCAATGTTATATATGGAGGTTGCTAAATATTAATTAGTTGTAAAAGCTTAAGACAACTGAGACTTTAATAATTTGGTAATATCATTTAATACAACGTTTTAAACAAGCATGCACCTTAGAAGGTAGCTACATAGGGAGTCTATATCTCAAAAAAAAAAAAAATTCTGGGCTGGAGAGATGGCTCTGAGGTTAATTAAGACCATTTACTGTGCCAGGAGGTGGTGGAGCACACCTTTAGTCCCAGCACTCAGGAGGCAGAGGCAAGCAGATCTCTGTGAGTTCGAAGCCAGCCTGGGCTTCAAAGAGAGTTCCAGGAACCCTGTCTCAAACCCCCCCCAAAAAAAAGGAGGAGGAGGAGGTGGAACATGTACTGCTCTTGCAGCAGACCTAAGTTCAATTCCCAGCACCTACAGCAGGTACCTCACAACTGCCTATAGCTCTAAATCCAGGGAAATCAGATGTCTCTAGCCTCCAAGGGCATCTGCACTCACATGCATATACTCACACACTGAAACATACACAAATTAAAAATAGTAAAAGTAAATCTTTAAAAAGTTCTCTGTGTCTATATATGTGTACACGTGTGTGCAATAGTCTTTGCATGTATTTGCATGTATAAACCTTTACATGTATGTTATAATCAGAGGTTTCTCTGTCCCTCCCTGTCCCACAGCCACTTCTAAATAATCAATCACTCAGAGGTTTAATATTAATACAAAATGTTTGGCCTATAGTTCAGGCTTATTACTAACTAGCTCTTACATTTAAATTAACCCATTTCTGTTCATTCATATATTACTACGTGATCATGCTTTTACCAGTCTGCTGGCATCTTGTTTCTTGGGTGGCTGGCTCTCATCTCCCTTGATCATGCCCTTCTTTTTCCCTTTATTCAGTTTAGCTTTCCCACCTACCTATATTCTGCCTTCCTATAGGACAAAGCAGCTTTTATTATCAACCAATGAGAACAACTTATATTCACAACATCCAGAAGGATTATCCCACAGCATTTCTGCCTTTCTGTCTAATCAAAAAAAGAATGTTTCAACTTTAACATAGTAAAATTAGACAATAAAACTGTTATCAAAAAAAATGTTATCAAGTAGCTGGACGGTGGTAGCGCATGCCTTTAATCCCAGCACTCGGGAGGCAAGGAAGGCGGATCTCCGTGAGTTTGAGACCAGCCTGGTCTACAAAAATCTAGTTCCAGGACAGCCTCCCTCCAAAGCCACAGAGAAACCCTTTCTCCAAAAACCAAAAAAAAAAACAAAAACAAAAACAAAAAACTGCTATCAAGTAAGAATGACAGCTACAATAATCAATATTTGACAAAATTAAAGAAAATATTTAATTACTTACCCTGTCTTGGTAAATTTAAAGCTTCATATCTAATTTACCTTCTTGTCATAATTAAGAAAAACTATAATTATAACCACCTAATCTTCAACTCCATCAAAGACCAGAGAAGGAAATAATATTATTATTATATTATTACCTGAGTAGGCAGGAAGTGCAGACTATTGACTTCCAAATATGACAGAAACATCTGGCTGCCTGACAGTCACCCAAGTTTCCTCTGCAACATTGGGGCAACTCTCTTTGACCTACAGGCCTATCATATCTGAAAGACTTTCCTGTGAAGCAGGGAATTTTAAAGGACTGTCCTACCTTGTCTTGGCAAAGCTTGGCAGTTGCCTTATTTTGTTTTCTGCTGGTTCAGTTTAGACAGTATCTGTCAGCAATTAAAGCAAGGGCAGTTTCTTTGCCCACATGGCTAGCTTTTACCATAAAAGTAACAAACTCCATTCGGAGTTTCTTTGATGCCCATCGTCTTTTCTGGGGTATGTTGTTAAAACATTTAAAATACCATATTCGGTAGGTCTTTGAAATGTTTGAAGAATACCTTTCTATCTAAAATATCCCTTTGTATATCTAAAAAACGTAACTAACATGACATTAAGTTTGACTATTTTTGTAAATCTATATTCCTTAATTATACATTACATTTTTAATTGAGCTGTATAAACACAATGCCTTAAGCAAGAGTAGAAATATACATTAAGCATAACAAAATTAACCTTAAATTTATATCAATAAACTAAAATCTGTACCAGTGTAAAATATTTTGAGATTCACACTTATTTTTTAGATGAAAGTAAATTCAATCATCTACCCTTTTTTTCCAGTATAATAATCTTTTTTCCTATCATTTCTATATCATATCCCCCTTTTTCTTTTCAAAACATGATCCCTGAATTTAATCTCCTTTGTTCAGGCTTACTACTAACTAGCTCTTTCATTTAAATTAACCCATTTCTATTCATCTGTGTATCACCAGATCAATCTGTGGTCATGGCTTTTGCCAATCAGCTGTCATCTTATTTCTTGCAAAGCAGGCTCAAGTCTCCCTCAACTCTACCCTTCTTTCTCCCTGTCTTCAGTTTGGCTTTCCCAACTAGCTATATTCTTCCTTGCTATAGGCCAAAGCAGCTTTTATTACTTATTATGAACCAGTGAGAGCAGTGGTCAGAAGGATTATCCCACAACAGTGTGTATTAGTGAAATTTTCTTTCTATTTTGGTTGTTTTCCTCTAGATTATCATTGAAGTGACTGAAATGCTACATAATGCCAGCTTACTCATCGATGATATCGAGGACAATTCAAAGCTCCGACGTGGTTTTCCAGTGGCACACAGCATCTATGGGATCCCATCTGTCATCAATTCTGCCAATTATGTCTATTTCCTTGGTCTAGAAAAAGTCTTAACACTTGATCACCCAGATGCTGTGAAGCTTTTCACACGACAACTTTTAGAACTCCATCAGGGACAAGGCCTAGATATTTACTGGAGGGACACCTACACCTGCCCCACTGAGGAAGAATATAAAGCCATGGTGTTGCAGAAGACAGGTGGATTATTTGGACTAGCAGTAGGTCTCATGCAGTTGTTCTCTGATTACAAAGAAGATTTAAAGCCACTGCTTGATACACTTGGTCTCTTCTTCCAGATTAGAGATGATTATGCCAATCTACACTCCAAAGAATACAGTGAAAACAAAAGCTTCTGTGAAGACCTGACAGAAGGAAAGTTCTCATTCCCCACTATTCACGCCATTTGGTCAAGGCCAGAAAGCACCCAGGTACAGAATATCCTGCGCCAAAGAACAGAAAATATAGATATTAAAAAATACTGTGTGCAGTACCTGGAGGATGTAGGTTCTTTTGAATATACTCGATACACTCTTAGAGAGCTTGAAGCTAAAGCCTACAAACAAATTGAGGCCTGTGGCGGGAACCCTGCACTAGTGGCTTTAGTGAAGCATTTAAGTAAGATGTTCACAGAAGAAAGGGAATAATATTTGCCATTCTTGATTAGACTCAGAGTTTCTTTCAGTTGAAAATGAAGAGTGACTTGCTATTTATCTTTTCAAGTACTAGTCTCCAAAACCAAGTAAATGAGGGTGATGTGGGTGAAACAGTTTTATTGTCAGAATCCCTTTGTATAAAAATACAAACTTAAGAGCTAGAGAAATGGCTCAGTGGTTAAGGGGCTGCTCTTCCAGAGGACCCAGGTTCAATTTCCACTGCCCACATAGAAGTTTATCAGCATCTAAGTCCAGTTCCAATGATCTAATGGCCTCTTCTGGCCTTTGCAGGCAGCAGGCATGCATGTAGTAAACAAACATACCTGTAGGCAAAACACTCATACACATAAGATAGATTTTTATTTAAAGCACAATTGAAAGTATCAGGAGCCACAAACACAGGGCTTACAAATGTCAGACGCTAAATGTGACAAACTCCCTACCACCACAAGTGTTCCAGGTTTGCGAATAAAAAAAGACTTCACCTTCCAAGAAACTGTCTGCTTCCTAACTGTATGACATGGATGGTTCCCAATTCAAAACAGGGACTTCCTAGACAAATCTCTTTAGCTAAGTGGCCTAAAAACCAAAGAACTGCTGTCTTTCCCTAAATGATACTGCTAGGAGTATGTCAGTTTTGTCTCTTTGAAGGCCTATACCAAAGTCTGAAAAGACAGAATGAAAGCAGTAAGCACTCTTGTTTCCATCCTTAACACCCCACAAGTTCTGGTTTTATACCAAGGAGGTTCTACATAATGAAGTTCACATCCTGGTTCCAATCTCTCTCTCTCTCTCTCTCTCTCTCTCTCTCTCTCTCTCTC